GATAAAAATTGGGAATAAAATTTGAGGATAAAACCTCTTTATTGTGGGAAAAGGGGAATCAGGTGCTGTTTGTAACCCTCCAAAAAGGGAATTTCTGCTTTTTTTTCCCCCTCTAAAACCTGGGAATTGCCAGAAAATTGGGAATTGTGTTGGTTTGTCCATTTTCCGTGGTTTTTGGGCAGGATGCTACAGGAGGTGGAATGAGGATGGGAGCAGCAGCTGCATCAGGTGCAGGAACGAGACCCTGCCCAGCCCCTCTGGGCACAACCTCAGCGAGTGCAGGAGCTGTGAGTTTCTGACCCATTTTTATTAATCAATTTAAATTAAATTAATTTTAATGAATTGTAATAATTTTTTCTCAATCAATTGCTATCAATTGCTGCAAAAATTCTAGCAAAAGGCAGCAAAAAAAAGGAGATTTTTATTCTGCATCCTGGAATTAATTTGAATTTAATATAAGTAATTTTTGGTGTAAATTTTCTGGGTTTTTTTCCCCAGCTGGGAGCAGAGGGATGAACTCCCACGTGAACATGAGCTCTCCTTTCATCCAGAACTTTGGTGAGAACCTGGAATTTTGGGAGGATTTGGGGTCTGAAAGAAGGGATTTGATGAGTTAAATCTGTTAAAATGAGTTTTAAAAGGGATTTAAGGAGTTTAAAAGGGAATTTAATGAGTCTAAAAGCAATTGAATTTGTTAAAATTATTTTAAAAAGTGATTTATTGAGTTTAAAAAGGGATTTAATGAATTAAAAGGGATTAAATTTGTTAAAATGAGTTTCTAAAGGGATTTTATGAGTTAAAGGTGTTTGAATTTGTTAAAATTAGTTTTAAAAGTGATTCAATGTCAAAACTGATTTAATTGATTAAAATTTGTTCAAACTGATTGAATCCCTGGCAGCTGCCATTGAAACTGAAACTCAGTTTCAGGCACTGGGATGATCCAACAGCACCTAAAATCAGAATTTGCTCTTTATTTGGATTTAATCCTTTGATAAAAAGCAATTTTTGCTCCAAACCAGGTTTTCTCTCTTTTTTGATCATTTCTTCATTTCCAGGGGGCCCTGAAGTCGCCGCCTCTCTGATTCTGGGCACGTTTTTCCTCAGTTTATTCCTGATCCTTTCTGTGGCTTCTTTCTTCTACCTCAAACGAGCCAACAAACTCCCAAAGATTTTCTACAGAAGGAACAAAGGTAAAAAATCCCTTTAATTGTCCATTAATTAATGAATTTCGCTCTGTTAATTGGCCGAAATGGAGATTTTTCCTTGAAAATTCCCCATTCTGTGGAGAAAATCCCCATTTTGTGCCAATAAATTCTCCAGTCTTGAGAGTCCTATACCAAATAAATTCTCCAAATGGGAATTTTGAATATTTTGGTTGGATTTTGAGACAAAATTCCTTTTTTTAACATGAAATTATTCCCTTCATGGCTGTATTTTTGGAAAATGACCAATTCCAGCCTTCACATTAATTAAAATAATGTTAATTAATCTTTTTTTTCCTTCTTTTTTAGCATCTGTTCTCCAGCCCAGTGAAACAGTGAGTGAATTCTGCTTTTATAAGAACATTAAACAAATTATAATTTCCATTTTAATTAACTAAATTGGGACTTTATTAAGCAACTCCTTAATTGATGAATGAGGCTGAAATAAAATTAAAGGTATTTTGGTGTTCTTTGGATCCAAACTGGGACAAAAATGGAAAAACAGAGTTATTTTTCCAAGAAAAAACTCTGTACACAGTGAAAATTATAGTAATCCTAAAAAATTCCTATATTTTTTTTGAAGAAGAACTGTTAAAATTTGGGGTTTTTTGACATTGTCCTTCTGTTCCACAGGCATCCATGATCTCTCCTCCAGCTTCTTCAGGTGAGGAAGTTTCCCCTGGAATGTGCTAAAAATAAAGGGAAAATCCCAAAAATTCCCGGGACAAGGAACAGAAATCAGTGGGATTTGATTTTTCTAATGGGATTTGTTGCTTTAATTCATGCAGGGCAAAATATTGATGGGATTTCTGGTGGGAAATCCATTTTTGGGGTTCTGGTTGGGTTTTGTGGGGTTGGGATTGGGTTTTGGTTGGGTTTTGGGACTGGGTTTTGTGGGTTTGGGGTTGGGTTTTGTGGGTTTAGCTTTGGGTTTGGGGTTGAGTTTTGTGGGCTTAATTTGGGGATTGGGTTTGGGGGCTTTAGGCTTGGTTTTGTGGTTGGGTTTTGTGGGTTTTAGGTTTGGGTTTTGTGGGGTTAAAAACCACAAAACACAACCCCAACCCCAAACCCTCCTGCAGCTCAATCCCCACATCCCACCCCCTCCTCCCTTTGGGATTTCCNTCTGGTTTATCATTTCAGTGTTTGTAGCCCTTCCATGCTTCTCTGGTTTATCATTTAAATGTTTGTAGCCCTTCCATGCTTCTCTGGTTTATCATTTCAGTGTTTGTAGCCCTTCCGTGTTTCTCTCAGTTTTATAATTTCATCTTTTAAAACTCTTCCCTTCCCTTCTGGTTGATCATTTCAGTGTTTGTAGCCCTTCCATGCTTCTCTGGTTTATCATTTAAATGTTTGTAGCCCTTCCATGCTTCTCTGGTTTATCACTTCAGTGTTTGTAGCCCTTCCATTCTTCTCTCAGTTTTATAATTTCATCTTTTAAAACCCTTCCGTTCTTCTCTGGTTTATCATTTCAGTGCTTAAAACCCTTCCATGCTTCTCTGGTTTATCATTTAAGTGTTTAAAACCCTTCCATTCTTCTCTCAATTTTATAATTTAATCTTTTAAAACCCTTCCATTCTTCTCAGTTTTATCATTTCAGTGCTTGAAACCCTTCCGTTCTTCTCTCAGTTTTATCATTTCATTGGCATTTTGTCACGGCCAACTTTTCTCCTCAGTTTTTTAATTTCAGCTTTTAAAACTCTTCCATTCTTCCCTCAATTTCATAATTTCAATGTCTGAAACCCTTTTATTTTTCTCCTCAGTTTTATCATTTCAGCGTTTAAAACCTGCTTTTCCAACCCTAGTTCCTCTCTCAGCTTTATAATTTCAAATTTTCTCATCAGTTTTATAATTTCGACTTTTAAAACCTCTCTGGTTTTGTTCTGTTTTGTCATTTTACCTTTTAAAACCTTTCATTCTTCTCATTTTTATTATTTCAGCTTTTAAAACCTTTCCATTCTTCTCTCAGTTCTAGAATTCCAACTTTTCTCCTCAATTTTATAATTTCAGCCTTTAAAAGCTCTCTGCTTCTGCTCTCAGTTTTATAATTTCAGCTTTTCCAACCCTTTAATTCTTCACTCAGTTTTATCATTTCAACTTTTCTAACCCTTTCATTCTTCACTCAGTTTTATCATTTCAACTTTTCTCCTCAGTTTTATCATCCCAGCTTTTAAAACCTCTCTGATTCTGCTCCATTTTATCATTTCAGCCTTTCCAACCCTTGATTCTTCTCTCAGCTTCATAATTTCAATGTTTAAAACCCGTTAATCCTTCTCTCAGTTTTATAATTTCAGCTTTTCTCCTCAGTTTTACCATTTCAGCTTTTCCAGCTGAGCCTCTCTGGTCCTGCCCCAGCTTTACCATCCCTTCAGGATTAAGCAGCTTTTGGGTGTGATGTGGTTCCAACCACAGGGAATTGTGAAACCGCCTGGGTTTCAGGCACTTTCTCTGCACTTCCATCCTTTCCCAGCTGCTGAGTAATTCCCAAGCTCCAGCCAGAAAAATGCTGATAATGCAGCAGGAAAAATGCAAACTGTGGAGATAAGGCAAACGTTTTGCTTGCAGGAGTGGGAGGGGAGCCCTCGGCGTCCCTGAGTTGTTTGTGCTGCTTTTGAGGCACAGCGAGAGCAGAATTCCCGGTGGGATTCATTCCCATGGATCCCAGCTGGCAGAGATTCGGGATTTGTTCCACGCCTGACACCCGGGCTGTGAAATCGTGTTGGAATCCTGAAATCTGCCTGCCCCAAACTGAGCTGGCAGGGGAATCCTGAGGGGAAAGGATCTTCCAGTTCAGGCACAGGCTTCANTGAGGAGGAGGAGGAGGAGGAAGAGGAAGCGGGAGGGAGAACGGGCGGCGAGCCCCGGGGCGAGCGGCGAGCCCTGGGTGGGGCCCCATTGTTCGCGGTGGGCAGCGGTTCCTCATGGAGTCACCGAGTTCTGCAGGGAGATCGGCACCAGCGGGTCGGAGGGGTTTGGCTTTGGGATTAAAAAGCTTTAGGATTAAAAGGCTTTGGGATTAAAAGTCGCTCCTTGTTCCTGCTCCTTGCCCAGCGCTTTTGGGGCCAGCTGCGTTTGGAAAGGAGTTCTCTACTTATCCCCCCCCCGAAACTTTTATTTCCTATTAATTTAACTCGGTTGAAGATGATTTTTTGCCGGTCTGAGCTTGTTGGGGTGATGGGTGTTTGGTGATATTATTTTGGTGTGTTTTGCCTGGCTGAGCTTCCCCAAATGCACATCCCAATAATACGGGTGTTGGTGCACCGTTTAGGGGTGAAAAAACCCGAAATTTATCATAGAAACTTTGGGATTGTTGAGCCTGGAGAGGGGAAGCTTTGGGGCGACCTCGCTGTGACCTTCCCGAGCTGCAGGAAGGGGAATGTCCAAGGGATGGAGTGACAGGACAAAGGGGGATTAGTTCCAAGCGGCAAGGAGCGGGTTTAGGCTGGGGTTTGGGCAGAACTCCCTCCCTGTGAGGCTGCTGGGACCCTGGCACTGGTTATCCCAGGATATCCCATCCCTGGGATGCCCCAAGCAGGCTGGACAGGGCCTGGAGCCACCGGGGGCACAGCAAGGTGACACTGAAAGCCTTTAAATCCCTCCCAACCCATTCCCTTATCCCATTTCTAAAACACTTTTCCCTGTGGAATTTTCACTTCTCCTTCCCAAATCACTTTTCCTTGTATTATATGAATTTCTCCTTCCCAAACTACTTTTCCCTGTGGAATATTCACTTTTCCCTGTGGAATTTTCACTTCTCCTTCCCAAAACCACTTTTCCCTGTGGAATTTTCACTTCTCCTTCCAAAACCACTTTTCTCTGTGGAATATGAATTTCTCCTTCCCAAACTACTTTTCCCTGTGTGTGCAATATTCACTTTTCCCTGTATTATATGAATTTTGCTTTCCTGAAACCACNGCCAAACCTCCGGCCCTCTGCCGGCAGGATTCCTGATTTTCCAGCCTGGATCCACGGCATCCCACTTCCAGGGATTTTTTTCCCCCTTTATTCAGGGAAATAAGCCAGAAAATCCTCCATGGATTTTATTTTTTAATATTTATAATTTTTTTTTATATTTCATTTTGGAGCTTCAGGAGTGATTCCCCATCTCCTTGTGTCCCTCCTTCCCTTTTATTTTAAAAAATAATATTTACAAAGCCATGGAAATGAAGCAAGATTACCTCGTTAGCTGTAATTGGGATCATTATCATATTTTATGAATATTCATGGCATTTTTCACCTCCTACCTTTACAAATATTTGCATTTTGAGGCAGTCTTGATTTAAAATAAAGAAAAATCCAATAAAACCAATCCATATTTTGTGTATAACTTGCAACTTCCAGTACTAAAAAAGTTTAGGGAAGACATCTAAAACCCCCAGGAATGTTTTCCATTATAATTTAAGCAGAAGAACAGATTTTTCTCAAAATAAAGGTGAGGGGCAGCTCCAAATTTGTCTAAATGAGGCCTTTGAGGTTTATTTACGCTTTTGTCAGAAAAAAACCCCGAGGGAATTCAGGAGCTGGCTTGGAAATGCCAAATTTAAATGGATTTGTGCTCCAAGGAATGAGGAAAATTCTGGGATTGCGGAAGGAGCTGCTCCTCATCCGTATGCAAAATAACAAGGGGTTAAAAGGGGAAATAAACCACATGAAAAGTGATTTTTAGGGGAAATAAACCACATTAAAAGGAGATTTTTAGGGGAAATAAATCACATTAAAGGAGATTTGCAGGGGGAAATAAACCACAGAAGAAGGGGATTTGTAGGGGGAAATAAGCCACAGAAGAAGGAGATTTTTAGGGGAAATGAACCACAGAAGAAGGCGATTTTTAGGGAGAATAAACCACACGGTTTCCTTTATGGAATTATGGAATGGTTTGGGTGGGATCTTAAATCCCATCCAGTTCCACCCCTTTCCCTGGGCAGGGACACCTTCCCCTGACCCAGGCTGGGCTNAAAATATATATATTTAAAAATATAATATAAAATCTAAAATAAAGTAAAATGGAAAATAATATAAAAATAAATTTTTAAAAGAAAATTTAAAAATAAATTTAAAAATAAAATAAAATAAAATAAAATATTAAAATAGAATAAAATAGAAAAATAAAATAGAATAAAATAAAATAAAGCATCAGAATAGAATAAAATAGAAAAATAGAATAGAATAGAATAGAATAGAATAGAATAGAATAGAATAGAATAGAATAGAATAGAATAAAATAAAATAAAATAAAATCAAATCCATGCCAGAGTCAGCTCCAGGTTGCTCTGTGACTCACCAGCCCCTTCCTGCCAGGAGCCAGCACAGCCTCTGGAATTCCCATTGGAATTTGTCATCCTGGGAACTGCAGAGCCAACCCCAGCCAGGAGGGGAAAGCCTGGGAACCGTTCCCTGCTGGGGCACCGGGAATCCCGGGAATGCTGCAGGGACAGAGAGCTGGGAATTGCTTATCTGGGGGAGAAAAGGCCGGGAGCCGTTCCCTGAGGGAGCTGGGTACGTGGGGCTGGAATTCCGGGAAAGCTGGGAATTCTTTATCTGGAGCTGGGAGGAGAACAAGGCTGGGAGCCGTTCCCTGATGGAGCTGAGCACCTGGAATTCCCTGCGCCAGCCTGGAGCGGGAATTCCCGGGAATGCTGCAGGGACAGAGCTGAGCTCAGGGAAATCTTCTCTGGAGCCAGGAGGAGAAAAGTTTGGGAACCGTTCCTGGAGCGGGAATTCCTGGCCCCGGATTCCTGGGAATGCTGCAGGGACAGAGCTGGGAATTGTTTCTCTGGATCCAGGAGCAGAGCAAGGCTGGGAGCCANGATCCCACGGGGGCCCCACGGGGTTTGTGCTGGATCCCCTGGGAGCTGCTGATCCCACAGGAAC